AGGGAAGACACATATGGGAGTTTGGTTTCAAACGTACTGATGTGTTAAGATGTCTTCTAGACATAAAGAGCACATGTGAGGAAGTCAGTTGAATCAATATGTATCCCCATCTCTGCCCCCACAGCTCACTGACCAGGCATGGCTCCCAGCTGGGGTTCGAGTACCCCTCCACCAAGTGCCCTATGCCGTGAAGGGCTGTTTCCGCTTCCTGCCCCCAGCCCAGGTTGTTGTTGTGGGCAGCTACCTTCTGGGCACCTGCATCAGGCCAGACGTCAATGTGGATGTGGCACTGACCATGCCCAGGGTAAGGTCCAGGGTTCAGAGGATAGGGGCCCACCACCTGACTATCTGCAAATCCCTGGATCCCTCTTTCTTATCTGCCACTTGCCAGGGGATTGAAGTCTGAATTCTAAATCAGAAGAGTGGACCGTTGCAAGCATCCTGAGGGCGGCTTAGATTCCTTGGGCCAGTTGCTGTCCTTCTGGAGCTTTGCCCTCCTGATCTGAGATGTGGGCATGGTGTTGCTAACTGTGGCTCAGGCACTTCTGTCAGCAGAGGAGCCCAGCACTCTCACCTTGGCTTCATCTTGGCCTGCAGCTCCACAAGCACTTATGTGCCTGGCCTTCTCTTCTTCCCTGGCCCCTCCAGGAAATCCTACAGGACAAGGACGGGCTGAACCAGCGCTACTTCCGCAAGCGTGCCCTCTACTTGGCCCACTTGGCTTACCACCTGGCCCAGGACCCCCTCTTTGGCAGTGTTCGCTTCTCCTACACCAATGGCTGCCACCTGAAACCTTCACTGTTGCTGCGGCCACGTGGTGAGACACACTGGGCTGAGGGCACAGCATGGGGTGGTTAATCTGGAGGAGGAGGCACAGAGGCCTCAAGTACGGGGGGACAAGATGGGGAACGCTTTGGCTCCAAGGGCTCCTGCAGAGTCTCAGGACCCCCATCTCTGCCAGGGAAGGATGAGCGCCTGGTCACTGTACGTCTGCATCCGTGCCCTCCACCTGACTTCTTCCGTCCGTGCCGCTTGCTGCCAACCAAGAACAATGTGCGCTCTGCCTGGTACCGAGCGCAGAGTGCTGCAGGGGATGGTGAGCAGGCTCTGGTGTTGAGGTGGAGCTGGAGGGTGGAGATGTGGGACTTTTCCTCTCATGGCTTCCCTTTTCCTCCCACAGGTAGCCCAGAGCCCCCTACCCCCCACTACAACACGTGGGTCCTGCAGGATACAGCTCTCGAGTCCCATTTGCAGCTCCTGTCAACCACGCTGGGTTCAGCTCAGGGCCTGAAGGATGGCGTGGCACTTCTGAAGGTCTGGCTGCGGCAGCGGGAGCTGGATAAGGTGAGTTGAGGGTGGCCCAGCCTTCCTGCCTGACTGCCTGTGTGATGGGCAGGTTCTGACCTCACGCCTCTCCCTCTGTCTCTTTCAGGGCAAGGGTGGGCTTACTGGGTTCCTTGTCTCCATGCTGGTTGTCTTCCTTGTGTCTACACGCAAGATCCATACCACCATGAGTGGCTACCAGGTCCTGAGAAGTGTCTTGCAGTTTCTGGGTGAGGCAACTAGGTGGGGAAAGGCCTTGGGCCCCACTCCTCCGGGAATCCTCTCATCCCAGCAGGGGTCTTTTGGTTTCTTGCCATCAGACAGATGAGCAAACTGAATCAGCTGAGGGAGGGTGTCATTAGGGCTGGGTCCCCAGAGGGGGATACCTTCTGATACACTTGTGGTTCACTTTAGCCACTACAGACCTGACAGTCAACGGGATCAGTTTATGTCTCAGCTCAGATCCCTCTTTGGTGAGTTTGGGAAGGGCCAGGTCTATGCCAGGAGGCCTGAAAGTAAGGTGCCAATGCTGACCTGCTTCTCTCTACACCTCCCAAGCCGGCCCTGGCTGACTTCCACCAGGCCTTCTCCGTTGTCTTCCTGGACTCCTCAGGCCGCCTCAACCTCTGTGCTGATGTCACTGCCTGTACTTACCACCAGGTACCCATAGGCCCCCAGTCCCCTGATGTCCCAGTCTAGACTCTGTCTCTTTTTCAAGTACCAGAACCCCAGAAACTCCTGTTCAAAGAGCTAGATTCAGGGCATGTCTCTGGTCTAAGCCCTTGGATCAATGAAGGGCACAAGGATGGTCCCTTTTTACTCTGTGGCTCCAGGTGCAGCACGAGGCACAGCTGTCTATGATGTTGCTGGACAGCAAAGCTGACGACGGGTTCCAGCTGCTGTTGATGACTCCCAAACCCATGATCCGGGCCTTTGACCACATCCTGCAGTGAGTTTAGGGGTGACAGGGTATGTTGGTGGGTCCTGTCTCTTTGGGGTAGGGCAAAGGTCTTCAGATAGGGACTCAGATCGTTGAGGGAGGAGATGGTACTAGGGACCGGCAACCTGATTCCCCCTCTTTGGCCCTCTGTACCCCTCCAGTCTTCGTCCACTGAGTCGCCTGCAGGCAGCATGCCACCGGCTGAAGCTCTGGCCAGAGCTGCAGGACAATGGTGGGGACTATGTCTCAGCTGCTTTGGACCCCCTGATCACCCTCCTGGAGCAGGGCCTGGGGACGCGGCTGCACCTGCTGGCTCACTCTCGGCCCCCAGTCCCAGAGGTGAGGTGGTGTAGGTTGGGGAGTTTGGGTCTGAGTGGGGCTGGATCCAGGGTCCCAAGAGACACAAAGGACATTCCTCTAGCTGGGTGTTTCTAGCTGGCCATAGGTTTCCAGGCCAGGCTGGAAGATTCAAGGACTGAGCTCAGCCTTTTGAAATCCTGCAGTGGGACATCAGCCAAGATCCACCAAAGCACAAAGACTCTGGGACCCTGACCCTGGGACTCCTTCTCCGGCCTGAGGGACTGACCAGCATCCTTGAGCTGGGTCCAGAGGCAGACCAGCCTGAGGTGAGGGATCCCAGCATGTACGCTGGAAGGAGCAGGGTGGCTTGTCCCCACGGGACCTGGACTGAAGCTTGTCGGGCAGGTTCACAGAGCCCTTCCTTCCCCAGCACTGCTACCACCCTTGCCTCCTCAGGCTGCTGAATTCCGCCAGTTCTGGGGATCCCGCTCGGAGCTTCGGCGTTTCCAGGACGGAGCCATCCGGGAAGCTGTGGTCTGGGAGGCAGCCTCTATGTCCCAGAAGCGCCTTATTCCCCACCAGGTGGTCACTCACCTCCTGGCACTGTGAGTGTTGGCATCTGGATTCCGGGAGGCAGTGTGGGCTGGGGAGCTTTTTCTGGGGGCTGGTTCAGGCAGTTGAGCGAGAACATAGCCCCACATTTTCTCACTGTGTCTGTGCCTCTTTTTCAGCCATGCTGACATCCCAGAAACCTGTGTTCACTATGTGGGGGGTCCCCTGGAGGCACTTATCCAAGGCCTGAAAGAGGTAAGGGTCTCAGGGTCAAAGCTAGTGATTGTAGAGTAATCTGTAGGGAGAGTCCTTTCTGCCTCAGCCAGCTTGCACTTCCTGGCATGTCCAGCAGGCGGCGGTGCTGGCTCTGCTGCAGCCTGAGCCGGGACAGAATCCAGGTGGTGCTGGTCTTGCGTAGGGTCCAGTCTCCTGACCTTCTTCTCCCTCTCAGACCTCCAGCACAGGTGAGGAGGCCCTGGCAGTGGCAGTACGTTGCTACGATGACCTCAGTCGCCTACTGTGGGGACTGGAGGGTCTCCCACTGACCGTGTCTGCTGTTCAGGGAGCTCATCCAGTGCTGCGCTACACAGAGGTGAGTTGCCACAGGGCAGGCGACCTTTCTGCTTGGTGGCCCCACCCCTGCTCTGGTCACCCAGTATTCCACTGTTCCAACTCCCGACTCTGAGCACGCCCTCCCAGTCCCAGGCCCCTTCCTCAGCCTGCTTTCTTCCACAGGTGTTCCCACCAACTCCAGTCCGACCAGCCTTCTCCTTCTATGAGCCTCTGCAAGAGCGGTCCTCACTGTTGCCCCGGCCTGATAAGCCCTGTCCAGCCTACGTGGAGCCCATGCCCGGTAAGAGGGTCCTTGGGAGGAAGTGGGAGGGATAGGTTCCACTCCAGGCCACAGTATGAAACCTCTTACTCCTCTTCTCCCTCAGTGGTTTGTCACCTGGAGGGCAGTGGCCAGTGGCCACAGGATGCTGAGGCCGTGCGGCGGGTGCGAGCTGCCTTCCAGCTGCGCCTGGCAGAGCTGCTGACGCAACAGCATGGTCTGCAGTGCCGTGCCACTGCCACGCACACGGATGTCCTCAAGGTTAGGCTGGTGCAGGCAGCCAGGTTCCCAGGGAGGCGGGGCACCAGGGATGTCAGAGTGTGGAAGAAGACACCAAGCTCGGGGCACCAAGATGGGGAACAGAGCCATAGGCCTCAGAGTCCCCCTGGGGTCCTGGGCTGACATAGCCTTCTCTTTCCGTACCTTCTTCCAAAGGATGGATTTGTGTTTCGGATTCGTGTGGCCTATCATCGGGAGCCCCAGATCCTGAGGGAGGTGCAGAGCCCAGAGGGGTTGAACTCGCTCAGAGACACACCTGCCTCCCTCTGCCTTGAGAGAGACACAAGGCAGTTGCCACTGCTCACCAGTGTCCTGCATGGGTAAGGCCACCTGCACAGGTTCTTGCTGTCTGGGGGCCCCTTCTTGCCCCCGTCCTCCTCGCCTAGCCACCTGTCTCTCTGGGGTCCAGATGGTATCATAGTTAGGGGTATGAGTTCTGGAGTCAGGCAGGTTCTGGAATCCTGGCTCTGCCGCTTACTGACTGTGACCCTATGGTCAGATTTTCCTCCCTGGTTCCTATATTTCTCATCTGTAAAATGGAGATAACACTAGGGTCAATTTGTTGTAGCCTTTGTTAAGAGAACATGAGATTACATGTATAACCTATTAGCACCAAGGCTGGGCCCTGGGTGCCTGAGTCTCGCTGACACTCCCTCTTCTCCCCAGACTGCAGCAGCAGCACCCAGCCTTCTCTGGTGTGGCGCGGCTGGCCAAGCGATGGGTGCGTGCCCAGCTTCTTGGTGAGGGGTTCACTGACGAGAGCCTGGATCTGGTGGCTGCTGCCCTTTTCCTGCACCCTGAGCCCTTCACCCCTCCCAGGTGATTCCCTCCACTTTTTCCCTAGCCAGGAAGTTCCCTTGGGGCCAGCTATCATCTTTTGTTCTATACCTTAAGTCTACATGGGAATGGGTTGTAAAGCAAGTGACAGGAGGGGTTCTAAGATACCCTGCTCCCCGTATCCACACCAGGGGGTCTGAGCTCCATAGACTGAAGGAGGCCTGGGGATATATGGCTGGACCCTGGACTCTTTGCCTACTCCAGCCCTTTAGTTCCCCCCAGGTTGGCTTCCTTCGATTCCTTTTCCTGGTATCAACGTTTGATTGGAAGAACAACCCCCTTATTGTCAATCTCAACAATGAGCTCACTGGTAAGTGGTAGAACTGGGGTCAGACTGCTGGAAGAACTGCCCTTTATGGATTTCAGGCAAGGGTTTTCCCTGGCAGTGTTAGGTTTTCTCTGTGCCTCCCCAGCCTTGAATGTCCCAGCCTGACCATTGAGACATGGTTTGCTCTCAGTTGTCAGAGACAGAATGACAGGGTGGTAAGCAAGCTCCCGGGGGGGAGGGGGATGCTGTGGAAGGAAGAGGAGAATAGAAGGAGGATCCTGTATACCAGGTGAGAAGTATTAGGGCAAGGAGCCAGGAAGTATAGCATACTCAGACCTCTTGGCGGGGTGGGAATGGTGATTTCTGGTTGTAACATGAGGCACTCCTGGTCTCCGCAGAGAGCAGGGTGTCAGGTTCCTAATTCCCCAGGTGTGTGGAAGCCCAGGGTGGGAGGGGGCCGGGGGCAAGACTCAGCTTGTGCAGGCCTGGAAACCACACTAGGGGTGCCAAGCAGTGGAAAATTCTGTCCCTGGGCTGAGGTTGGGAGATTAATGCCCCACCCAGTTGAGGCAAATGTGATGTCCCTTTGGTCACCTTTGCCACTTGTTGGTAGGGGGTGTTGAAAAATACCTGTGATGAGCAGCTGTTGGGCGCACTGTAGCAGTACCTGGGGAGTAGACGGTGTCTTCAGGGGAGGGCCAGGCTGACCCAGACCCATTCTTGTCTCTAGTGGAGGAGCAGGTGGAGATCCGAAGTGGCTTCCTGGCGGCTCGGGCACAACTCCCCGTCATGGTCATTGTTACCCCCCAAGACCGCAAAAATTCTGTGTGGACACAGGATGGACCCTCGGCCCAGGTTCAGCCCCATAGCTGCCCCCTGATGCGTGGTTTTCTTCCCAAGGAAAAAGGCCCAGCCTGAGCTGGGAGAGACCCACTGTCAGTTCCAGTCTGTTTCTGTACCCCGCAGATCCTGCAGCAGCTTGTGGTCCTGGCAGCGGAAGCCCTGCCTGTGTTAGAGAAGCAGCTCATGGATCCCCGGGGGCCTGGGGACATCAGGGTAAACTTCTGACCAGCAGTGACTCCAGGGCCTTTGGGGATTCTGTCTTTTGGAAGCCCAGAGTTTGGGGATCTCACAGGAGGTCGGGTCCCCTTGTTTAATGAGACTGAACAGAGGAGGTGTTGAAGCTGCCGTGGTGCCTGGGGTGGCAGAGCCTGGGGAAGCTGGGCTCCATCTGGGCCTCCTGTTTCTAGCCTGTGCTCCTCCTGCTGGGCTGCGCACCAGCTGCTCCCTCTGTGGGTCTTGGTGTTTCTGTCTTCACATGGGCAGGTGGGCCCATAGCAGGCGGTCAGATGAAAGGGAAGGAGGAAACCAAGGTGGGCTTGGTCCAGTTCCCCATCAAGGGGATCCTGCTGATCCCTTCTCCATTTCCTTAGACAGTGTTTCGGCCACCCTTGGACATTTACGATGTGCTGATTTGCCTGTCTCCCCGCCACATCCCGCGGCACCGCCAGGCCGTGGACTCACCAGCCGCCTCCTTCTGCCGGGGCCTGCGCAGAGAGCCAGGGCCCTCATCCCTGATGCCCGTGCTGGGCTACGATCCTCCTCAGCTCTATCTGATGCAGCTCAGGGTTGGTCCTAAACAGCTGAATGACACTGGGGAGGGTACTTCAGGTGAAGCCGAGGCTGTGGAGGAGCTCTTAAGTGCCCGCCTGTAATCTTTGCTATTCTATCCCTTTCTAGGAGGCCTTTGGGGATCTGGCCCTTTTCTTCTATGACCAGCATGGTGGAGAGGTGATTGGTGTCCTCTGGAAACCCACCAGCTTCCAGCCCCAGCCCTTCAAGGTGCGCTGGCGGGTGACAGCCATGTTCCTGAGTGTGTGCACGTGGCTTCCTGTGGGCATGCATGTCTGTGTGTAGTGTATAGTCTGCCCTATGGGCAACCCCGTATCAGGTGTGAAGTGCATGGGCTTGTGTGGCTATCTCCACCACCCGCTCTGCCCCAGCCTGGTGTCTCTGGGTGTGCCACTGACACTCAACCCTCATCTCTTTCTGATTTCCCCAGGCCTCCGGCACAAAGGGGCGCATGGTGATGTTTCAAGGTGGAGAGCCGGTAATGGTGCCCAATGTAGAAGCAATCCTGGAGGACTTTGCTGTGCTGGGTGAAGGCCTGGTGCAGACTGTGGAGGCCCGAAGTGAGAGGTGGACTGTGTGATCCCAGCCCTGGAGCAAGCTGGAGATGGCCAGCAGGACCTTGGACCTCTAGAGCAAGATGTCAGTGGGCCAACCTCCACTCCTCCTGGACACGAATCCTTCATGGAGGGCCTGCTGGCTGAACACGCTGAATCATCTGCAGCAAAGCCCAGCCCCAATTTTTTCTATGATGCTTGAGCATTGGGGCAGGGGCATGGTTGCCCATGTCGTCTCTTGGGCCCGACCATCCTAGAAGAGGAGTAGGAACCGGCTCAGAGAAAGAACTGAACCCAGGAGATTCATCCAGGTGGATGAATCTATTAGCCCTGGGCCTAGACCTGCCCCCAGTTTCCCACTCCTTTCTTAGTCTTCTTCTAGAAACAGAGAAGGGGGCGTGTGCCTGGGAGAGTCTCTGTCTTTTTCCTACTGCCAGGACCTGTGCCTGGACTTCAGTCTGCCCTTCACTGCGATGTTAGGCCTTTAGATGGGACCCAGAGAAAATGTGTCCCTTCCACCGACACTGAGCAGTGGAAAGGGGCTATATGTGTATGAATAGACTGCAGTGAAGGAGCACAATGCCCTCCTGTGTTGGTGCCACTTCTCAGGGTGGAGACAGTGGAAACGAACTGAGGACAGGAAGGGCTGGGTAGGTGAAGGGATCGGGGGACTGGCAGTCCCCCAGTCTTGGAGAGGTGCAAAAAGCACTGGGTTGCATCTGCCCTGGCTGTTTGCCCTTTCATGTCACAAACTGCCACTACTATGCACCAGCAGTGGGGTTGCAGAGATGAAGGAGACTAAGTCTTCCTCCCCAGGAGCTCCCAGGGCCTGAGGAGGAGAATGCTCCCTCCTTTCAGTCTTGTCTGCACCCCCTTTCTGGCAGCCTCTCTGCTTCCCCTAATTCCGGCTGTTTTTCCAGACTCAGCTCAAATAGTGCCCCTCCTTAAGCCCATCCCTTGCCCCGAGCCTGAGGTGATCTTTCCCTCCTCTGAACTATTAGAGCAGTTACTGTGTGTTCAGTTCGCTTGGCAGGCACACACAGTGGCATAAATTAAATTGTTTCGAACCCTGATTTAAATTGCAGCTGGGTGTGGTGGCTCATGCTTGTAATCTCAACACTTAGGGAGACAGGAGGCTCCCTTGAACCCAGGAGTTCTAGACCAGTCTGGGCAACATAGCGAGATCCTATCTTTTTTAAATAAAAAGTTAAATTGCTTAATTTCCCCCATGTTCCTGGCCTGTCTCCTCCCTTTACATAGTTTTGACCTGGTTTCCTGTATGTAAACTCCTTGAGGGCAGGGAACATGTTTGAACATAGATTTCTTCATGTCCTTCCTAGCACTTATTACAGTGCTTTGCTCAGGCCATCCGGCACAGGCAGGTGGAGGGCAGGGAAGCCCACTCTGGAAGATTGCAAAGTAAAGGGAATCTATTTGTGAACCCTGCCTGGAACAAGTGGGTGGTGATGGTGAAAGAGAAAGCCTAAGAGATAATAGAGCTGATGTTTATTGAGTGCCTAACAGGGGGCCAGGTGGGGTTAGGTGGTGGTATCCGTATCTTATGTGTGGAAATTTGGTCATACAGTCTCACGAGCCCTATGGAGTAGGTGCTTTTATTTACCTTTATTTTCTGAGTGGGAACAGGCTCAGTGCAGGGGCCTGTCATGGAGGAACTTTGATGCCTGGCTAGCAAGCTCTGTCCTCAAGATGAGAAGCTGCATGTGGGAACTCTGGCCTCCAGTTCTGGCTTAACTGTTGGTCTTTGTGAATCTCTGCTTGCCCCTAGTCACTGCCATGGAGCAGCTCAGACCAGGGTTGAAATTAGAATAGGGAGGGAATAAATTGGCTGGTTGTGTGAGCTGGAGTCTACACCTCTCCCTCTGCTATTCATTCGTAAGCTTCAAGCATCACCATGCCAGGCTTTATTTTCAGGGAGTGAAATGTAATCCCATCCTTAAGCCTTATGGTTTGTGGTCATCCTTGGCTCTTGCTCCTTGGTCCCTTGGACTATTTGTCCACAGTCCCTCCATGGGCTCCTGGGAAGGCCAGGGGTTGCTGGCCTGTTGCATTCTCAAGTCAGTCGCCTATAGCTTCAGGCCCCTCACAAACTCAGCTCTGGATTATCCCCATGGGGGAGGGGGTGAACTCTGCCCCCAGGCAGGACTATAGCAGGTGTCTTTAAGAGGTGCAGTTACCAGTCCCAGTGGGAACCAAGCCTGGCCCTGCCAACTTACATGGCCCTGGGCAAGTCAGTTACCTTTGCTGGGATCAGTCTTCCGACCCATAAAATAGGCACGGTAATGGCTTTGTCAGCTGACCAGTGCCCAGTGACAAGGGAAGAGGGCTGAGAATTTAGACCTCTGAGGCACTGCACCATCCTTTCCTGTTCTCCCTGTTCCAGGTCCACTAGGGAGGTGGGTGAGCGGGAGGCCCAGGGTCTAATTTCTTTCTTTCTTTTTTTTGAGGCAAGAGTTTTGCTGTTGCCCAGGCTGGAGTTAAATGGCATGGTCTCGGCTCACTGCAACCTCTACCTCCCAGGTTCAAGCGATTCTCATGCTTCAGTCTCCTGAGTAGCTGGGATTATAGGCAACTGCCACCACCCCTGGCTAACTTTTTGTATTTTTAATAAAGATAGGGTCTCATCATGTTGACCAGGGTAGTCTCAAACTCCTGACCTCAAATGATCTGGCTGCCTTGGCCTTCCAAAGTGCTGGGATCAGGCATGAGCCATCATGCCAGGCTTTTTTTTTTTTTTTTTTAAAGACAGTCGTCTCACTATGTTCAGGCTGGTTTCAAACTCCTGGTCTCAAGTGATCCTCCAGTCTTGGCCTCCCAAAGTGCTAGAATACAGTTTCCCCCTGTTCTGACTGATCTCAGCCTCTCTACGTAGTTCCATTTAGTGAACCCAACAAGGGTCCTCCTTTCTGGCTGTGGTATCTGACAACCTCCTCTACCCCCAAATCCTGTTAGCTGAAGACCCTATTTTCCTTTGCCCAGCTCCATACTTTGAGTGAAAAGAGCAAGACCCAAAAGCCTAAGGGGTCCATATAGTATATTACAGTCAATGAGTCCCCAGGGCTGCTTAGTCCCTGTTACATGGGGGCTATCCAACCCCCTCCCCCAAGTTTACAGGTAACCCCCAACATCCCATACTTGCTTTATGAGTCACAGATTAATCCAGGTGAGTGATAAGGGCAAGGGGAAGCCTGGGGCACGTGAGTCACCCGTACCCTTCACAGGAAAGGCCAATCTGCTCATCTGTCCCTGAGAGGGAGGAGAAAGCATCTCACACTGCCCCAGGGAACTAAGGGGGACCAAGAGGAAGGGTGTTTCAAACCAGAGGAAGACTTCCTCTTCTACTTCAGAAATGAGTGGGGAGGATAATTTCCTGGTTGATATCAGGCCGAGAGGTGTAGGAACTTGTCTAGGGTCACACAGAGACTCGGGGGGTACAGCTACTGAGATTCTAGGTGTCCTGGCTCCTGGCAAGCCACCTGCTGCTGAACCTGGCTTTCCTGGAGCCAAGGGGTGGGGTGTGAAGGAAGAAAGGATTAGAGAGGCCTGAGTGGCAGATCTCTTCCATGGGGCAGGGGAGGAGGGAAAAGTCAGGAGCCTCACCTGTTCTGGGCTGCTTGCCAGCCCAACCCCCTCTCCTTCCTAAGGCTTCAAGGGCTTTTTTTCTCTTTTGAGAGGCCCAGGCTGGAGTGCAGTAGTGCAATCTCAGTTCACTACAACCTCTGCCTTCTAGGTTCAAGTGATTCCCCTACCTCAGCCTCTTGAATAGCTGGGATTACAGGCACCCGCTACCATGCCCGGCTAATTTTTGTATTTTTGTAGAGAAGGGGGTTTTACCATGTTGGCCAGGCTGGTCTTAAACTCTTGACCTCAGGTGATCCACCTGCCTTGGCCTCCCAAAGTTCATGGATTACAGATGTGAGCCACTGCATCTGGCCTGCCCAAGGCTTTCTTTTTCTTTTCTTTTTTTCTTTTAAATATATATGGGGTTTCACCATGCTGGCCAGGCTGATCTCAAACTCCTCATCTTATGATCCACCCACCTCGGCCTCCCAAAGTGCATGGATTACAGGCATGAGCCACTGAGCCCAGCCTGCCCAAGGCTTTTGAATGCAGCTTTTATCAGCAACCAAGAGAAGCAGCGTGAAGGAATGGGGGAGTGCAGTTTTTGGGGGAGAGGGGTGTATGGGCATTCTGGTCAACCTCAGCTCAAGCCTAAATCTCCTCTGTTCCCTGGCCAGGCATGGTGACTCACGCTTGTAATCCCAGCACTTTGGGAGGCTGAGGTGGATGGATCACAAGATCAGGAGATCAAGACCATCTGACCAACATGGTGAAACCCTGTCTCTATGAAAATACAAAAATTGGCTGGGTGTGGTGGCACGCACCTGTAGTCCCAGCTACTTGGGAGGCTGAGGCAGGAGAATCACTTGAACCTGGGAGGCGGAGGTTGCAGTGAGCCAAGATTGCAGCATTCCACTCCAGCCTGGTGACAGAGCAAGACTTGGTCTCAAAAAAAAAAAAAAAAAAAAAAAAAAAAAAAAAAAAAAAAAAAAAAAAAAAAAAAAAAAAAAAAACTCCTCTGTTCCCTAGCCTGGGAGCTCAAAAGCAGGACCCAGCTATTCTCCCAGATTGGAAACCTCCACAGGATATGGCTTGGGTCTCCTAAGGACTGAAGAGGCCAAGGTTGGGCCCTGCCTGAGGGACAAGGAAGCACTGAGAGCCAGCCTCAGTTCCACTTGATGACCAACAGTTTGGATGAAAAAGATAATTATTGCATCCTGGCCTTTCCCCAGTCTCCCTCCACAATGCCCCCACCCCCATCTCCCAACCTATGGGGTCTCTCTAGAGCCCAGTTATCACCGACCCCTGGTCTCGAAACTCTCAGGAAGTCATTCTTGAAGTCTGACTTTGGAATCTCTTGCTGCGGCCTGCTCCCTCCCCTGGATTCTTCCCGACTCCTCTCCCCTGGGGTGCGTTGCTAATGGTTCCCCTATAATTAGCCAGCAGGCTGCAATGGCCTGAGAGTAGAATGTACTGGGGCTCATGCACACCCATCATCTTTCTGGTTTGACAAATGCATAGCCTCCTCCTGCCACCTCCTCCCCACCCCTCACCCTCACCCCCGGCACTTAGACCACAGGCCTTTTGAAGACTCATTGTCCTGCTGGTCCCTTGGCCCTCACCTCAGGTTCCTGTCCACCCAGTTCTTCCCCCTTCAATTTTTTCAGCTGATTGCCAACTTGCCCTCCTCACTCTGCCTCCTAAACCCTTCTCCCTCCACCTGGGCATCTGGCCTTGCTTCCTCCTCCATGGCCTCCTCCTAGGCCTCCAGCCTGTCTCCTCTTCCAACCCGTCTTCCACTCAGCAGCTGGAGGGGTCCTTCTAAATGGCAGATAGAGACCCTGTCACTCCCCTGCTTAAAACCTTCAGGGTTCTCATTAGCCACTGTCCTTAGTGGTGGCACATTTATCGATTGTAATCTCATTCAGAATCCTGATGTGAGATGGGAGCAGTGGTTCACGCCTGTAATCCCAGCACTTTGGGAGACTGAGGCGGGCGGATCACCAGAGGTCAGGAATTTGAGACCAGCCTGACCAACATGGTGAAATCCCATCTCTACTAAAAATACAAAATTAGACAGGTGTGGTGGCACATACCTGTAATCCCAGCTACTCGGGAGGCTGAGGCAGGAGAATTGCTTGAACCCGGGAGGTGGAGGTTGTAGTGAGTTGAGATCGTGCCATTGTACTCCAGCCTGGGCAAAAAAAGTAAAACTCTGTCAAAAAAAAAAAAAAAAAAAAAAAAAAAAAAAAAAAAAGCCCTAATGTAAAATGGTTAAGATGTTTCGGTTGAAGCAGGAGGTGGGGGCCAAGGCTCTGCCCCCTTGGCTTCTTTCTCCCTACCTCCAGCTGCAGCAGTCTCTGTAAAGGCTTCCTCAGAGCTTCAGGGCTTAAAGAATATCTAAGCTCTGGCCAGGCACAGTGGCTCACGCCTGTAATCCCAGCACTTTGGGAGGCCAAGGCAGGTGGATCACGAGGTCAGGAGTTTGAGACCAGCCTGACAAACCCCGTCCATATTAAAAATACAAAAATTAGCTGGGTGTGGTGGCACACTCCTGTAATCCCAGCTATGCAGGAGGCTAAGCCAGGAGAGTCACTTAAACCCGAGAGTTGGAGATTTCAGTGAGCAGAGATTGTACCACTGTACTCCAGCTTGGATGACAAAGTGAGACTCCATCTCAAAAAAAAAAAAAAAATCTAAGCTCAAATACCCCTTGGCCCTGGGTAAGCTTCCAGCCGCCGTCAGTATGGAACCCAAGGCCCTTCCCACACTACCCAAGTCCTTTCCTAGCCTCCTTGCTGCTGATCTCATCCTTCCCAGGCAGGCAGTCAGCCCTGCTAGAGCCTGGCCCTATAGTCTCTCACCTGGAAAAGCCTCCATAAAATCCCCAGCCAAATGTTTCTTCCTCTAGTAAGCCCTCTGATTGACCAGTCCAAATGATGCTCCATGCACCCTTCCTGGCTGCAGGGGCCAGGCTAATGCTGGGCCCCGGTTTAGGCTACCTAGGAAGCCTGTGAGCTCTCTTTTCCTCCTCGATCTCTGGTCATGACCCCTCATCCTCTTAAGCAACCCTCTCCTGGTTCTAGAAGCTTTCCTGCCAGTGAGGATGGAGATGAGAAATCAGAAAACCTAGGGGCTCCAGGCATCCTGTTCCTGAGGTGTGAACCAGAGCCCTCCAGACCCCCTAGGCCTGTCACAGTGATGACTGGTCTATGCCAACTCCATGTCACTAACTCCTTGCCCCCTGAGGCTGGCATGGGGCAGGCCCAAATGTCCAGCAGCTTATCT